AGACCGCGCGGTCGGTGCCCGCGCCCGGGGAGGAGTCGCCGGCCGCTGGGCACCATGAACGGCAGCAGCGCCAACATCACCTACGCCAGTCGCAAGCGGCGGAAGCCCGTGCAGAAAACGTGAGTGGCCGAAGCGCATCTTCGGCGCGGGGGCTGAGCGCTCCCCACTCGGTCCCCAGACCCCCGCTCGATGGAACGAGGTCTCTTCCCCGACCCAGTGGAATCGAGGTGCGGGGCCGCATCGAGGCACCCAGGCCTCGTAGTTTTCCATGGTTAATTACTGCATTTAAAAATTGCCCCGGTCCCCAGCGCGCAGGCACCCTCTCACCCCCCCACCCGTTTGCAGCTGTGCGCTCCTCTGTGGTCCTGATTTGTTGACAGCTCTGGTCCGCCTGTGGGGCTGGTGGATTAGTTAACGTAAACCCGCCTTGAAACCCCCCTCCACTTTTAATATCCTCTTAGGTTAGTGTAGAGGACGGGCGGAGTTCTCATTCCTGGCAGGGCGAGGTGTTTCAGAGCTAAACACGCATCACCTGCAGGAAGGGGCTGAGTGCCTCTGCAGGTATTTTTTGGTCTAGTGCAATTGGCTTTTTGTTGCGCCCTTACTTTCTTATTTGGAAGTAATTTTGAAGTGCTCAACGTGACCACGTCGGTAAAATGTATGTAGATTGTAGCAGGCAGAGTGAGTGTGATGGGCAAGGTGCGGTGGGGGGTTTGTTTTTTGAGCTACCCTTTTGGAGAGTTTTAGTTTTGGAGACTTTTGCGGTAGTTTTAGTTTCTCTGGGAAGTGGCAGATTTGAACCTGGAAATTAGTGAAACAGACATTTTCATTCTCGGTAACTTTCTCTAATTCCCTTTTTTCCCTCCTCCAAAGCTTTGTCAATCCTGATAGAGTGTTTACTAACATATTTTTTGTTTGTTTTGGTGGGATATTTGCATGAGATGGCAAATAACCTTACAATTTTTTCAGAAAAACAAATCCGTGCTTGAGACAGATTTCCTTCTGTGAGCCGGCTGTATTCCTGTGTTTATTTCTATCATCTCTGAGTTACTTTGCTTCACATTTTTCAGATTTTCTTAAACAATTCTAAGAACACATTAAAGGTTTATTCAGAGCCAATCAGAAGTATGCACTCTGCCTAAAACTTAATTTAGGTCACAAATTGAAATAAGGAAAATAACAGTTTAAGATTTATATTTAAAAGCACTAACTAGTTCAAAAGTTTCATTCTGGAGTTTTAATAACCTTTTTTAGGATTTCAATCTGAAGGTCATAGTTCTTTAGATCTAGACTTGGTGTTAACAAAGAATATTCATATATATATATGTATAAATCAACTGATTATAATTTGGAAGTCTTGTCTTGCNCAGATCTAGACTTGGTGTTAACAAAGAATATTCATATATATATGTATAAATCAACTGATTATAATTTGGAAGTCTTGTCTTGCAGTGTGTCTAACGTTAGCAATACTGGTGAGTTAGCGATTTTCTGTCTTGTCAGTTCTATGACATTGATTTACAAACTTGTATTTTGTAGAGTGATTTCTTATATGAAAACGTGCTTGTCTAGTTTGACTTTGTTCTTGAAGGGTAAAATTGAGAGGCATCCCAAATGCCTATTTTATGTATTTATTGTACACTTAGGATAATTTATAATACAGGTATTATGGGTTTTATGTGTATAGTCATAAAACTTGAAGATCTCCCTAATGGATTTTTAAGTTACTGAGTTCCTGTCAGTGTGTTACATAAGAACCTACATGACTTAAAAAAAAAAAAAAAAAAGTCAAATGCCTTATGTTTATATTCATTATAAAGTTTAACATTCTGGGCTTTTAGTTAACATTTTATTTTATTATAGATCTTCCCCTTTTAAACATATTACATTTTCCTTCTATTTATTTAAGTTGTACTTTTTATTATTTATCTGAATATTTTAATAAACTTCCTAAGACTTTAACATATTTGCATTTAATGATCTCTTGTAATACAGTGTTGCCAAAGCATTTCCACATTACCCTTGTTTTATTTTATTTAGTTAGTATAGATATTTATCAGATCTCTATTGAGCACCATGCATTGCTTCTGGTCATATAAATACCTTAAGTGGCACTACATTGCTCCATAGGAAAAGCCTAGTGCTGGCATTTACAGAGTCACATGAAATTGTTTATAAATTATTTTCACCTGCATGAAAAATGGTTAGGTTCATAATGCAGTTAATCAAAGTTCATTTAAGGAATGTGGCCATTAAACCTAATACTATATTTAGTATGGATTTTTTTTTTTAGTTAAATTAGTAGTTTGTAGCTAATGAGGTCTAAAATATGTCAACATTGTCAGAAAAATATATCTTGTTTGAGCTGAAAATACTATTGAGATTTCACTTTGATCCTTTAAGTGAAAGCTATTTTAATCTACTTGAAGAGAAAATGTTGTAGCATAAGTGTAAGACTTTTGATGAGATGCCCATTTAAAGATACAGAATTTTAACCTGAAGCTCTTCTAGTCCACCTTCAATTGAATTAATTAAACAAGATAAACTCCCTCTAGTGGCCATTCTATCATTGAAATTTACCTTTATTTGTAGGAAATAGATCTGAAATGTGTTCGTTTCAATCCCACTGAAGTATGTTGTACATAGTAGATGCTCAGTTAATGTTTCCTTCCTTTTCTGTGTAGTAAAAGTTATGAAATTAAAGGACTGAAGCAGCCTTGTATCTATCTGATCCAGGTTTCTACTTCAGGAAAACATTTTCATGACAACTTCAGGCATATATTCTGTAACTTACCTTAAAATGTTGTTCCATACTTAACAACACTCCTCAAAACAAAAAAACACATTGTTTTTTACTTAAATCTTGTTTCATTTTCTTTGGAGATTATAACTGTTTTTGGTCAGTTTGTTGAGTTACGTTGTCTCATGGAGATAAGTGAAAAGTGTACCATTAAGTAGAATCTGTTTTTCTCTAGTGATGATAATTTCGGATATGTTTTTGTAGTTTTGAAGTTTTGTTAATACAGAAAAAGTTTTAGTGGTATTTCAATTACTGTACTTCTAGTACTGACTGTTGGCAAATAATGGATCCTGAGTACATGACTTCTACCTTTAAAAGTGATGTCAGCAGTAGTGGTGATCAAGCCAGCCATCAGGAAGTGTCAGAACTGGAAATAACTTCTGAGCTTTAGCCTCTCCTTTTCACTTTGTTAACATTCTTGTAATGTTACTAGAATACAAAAGCATTGTATTCTTTCCTGCTTTTGCTGAGTTGCTGTTCATTCTATTTAAATCTCAGGAACCTCATTTGGATAATACCCACTTAGTAGAATAAAATTGTGCAGTGTTTTCCTGAAAAATGTTTCATATAAATGTAGTATGATACCATTTTCCAAATAGCCTGTAAAATTAAAGGGTAAGTCGTTTCAGTTACATAATTATTTCTCTACCATCATTTTTCTTTCAAATAGCTTTATTTAGATAACTTATACATAGTGACTGTAGAGGCTCTTACATATTGGAACTATGAAATGAGTAAGTGAAAATATTTACTTATCGGTAACATTTCTTTAAAAAAGGGGGGAAAAGGAGGAAACAGTGAGATATAAATGGAAAGAGTACTAGGTCTAAACTAAAAGACAAGGTCTTGTTTTCTTGCTTTTGTAGATCTGGGCACATTCTTGACCAATATAGCAGGATAGTCAAAACCTACAGCTAAAATGCCACTGTCACAACTAAAATGAGTAGAACAAAAGCATTTAATAAACTAAAGACTGCTAGAGATATAAATGAAAGAGAAACATAAATTCTGTTTTTTAAATAATTTTAGCTTACATTATCGCATAACAATCAATTCTCCTGTGAAACAGTAAGAGGCAGTATATGATTATGTTCTCAGTTCTGGGTATGGCTGAAATGTGCTGCCTCACTGCTGAATAAACTCACATAGTACATGCTTATTGATGAAAAGAATTAAGACAGTTACTTAGAAATAAGTACCACACAAATAAATCTCTAACAACAGTACTTTTTTACTTCCACACTTCTGTAAAATTGCTTTTATCTATATCGTGGTTTAATATAACAAACAACTGTTTGATAGTATTTACTCTGATACAAACATGCACTGTGTTTTGTATACATAATTCCCCCCCCACCACCAGTTTATAATAGTACTATGAAAAGGTAATATTTTAGTTTTATAGATAGGGACCTGAGGTTCAGATTTAAAATTGTCAGGTAGGAAATGAAACAGTGGAGTTTGAATATCCGATCCCAAAACTTATGTTTTTACCAACTTCACAATACTACCCAGGTGAATAAGTTCAGCTGTGCATATGGTACATCTGTATCCTAGGTATTTCCTTATTGTCCACTGTTCTCAAATAGTTAACTTTCTGAAATAAGTTATCTACTATTTCCCACACCAGATTTCCATACTTAAATCCATATTTGCATTCATACCCTTCCCTCTTAAGAGTATTCTCCTCCTATTTTAGTGATTTGTTCCCTCCCTCCCCTCCTTTAAAACATTGCTTTTAATAGCTGCATAGCACTCCATTCTCTTAGTATTCCATAATTTAACTGTTTTTCTTTTTTTTTTTGGGGGGGGGGTCTATTTTTTTCCAACTTATAAATATTTTAACTAGTTTTTCAGAGAATACCTTTGAGTTATGTGACTTTCTATGCAAATTCTTAGTTATTTCCTTAGGGAAAATTCCTATACATGGAATTTTGGGGTACAAAGGTATGCATACTTTTAATGTTGAGCCAAATACTATGCTCCGAGAAAAGTGTCGGATTGCTCTGCAAAAAGTTTATGTTCCCATTGGTGGTCTTTCCTTGCATATTTGCTTAAAAATATTAATTTTGACAATTGGCTTTCATAGACAAACACTGGTGGGGTAGGTAATTGAATTTATTGTTGGGATTATGTGTGTGTGGAGTAGTAGTGTGGTGTTTAAAGATTTTTCTACTTGAGATGGCCTTTCAATACTGAATTGCTTTGTCTTATATTTTTTAGTAATTTTTACTTTGCTCCTTTCTTGTTTTTTGAGCGATTGTTTTGAAAATATTCCTATTAAACAATGCATGCACATTTAAGAAATTCAGTAATACG